CTTCCAAGGGAGAGGATTTTTTCAATATTCCTTTGGCATCATCCCATACCGCAAACCCATCAATGTTGTCAGTGAGTTCCTGGATTTTCAACTCCGTTGTTGTGGACATTCTCCATAGGGTCTTTTTTAAAATATAGGGTCCATTGGTATACTGTCCTGCAATGTCTTTATGGAAATGATGAGGTTCATCAGAACAAAATATCTCCAAAATTCCTACTACAGTTTAACCTTTTGGCTTTGAAATGGGTAGTATTTTTGTAAGGCAGGTTATCAAGCAGCACTGGTGAAATTTTTCTAAGGGAGGAAGTGAGGGGCTGGAGGGCTGAAAGTTCATAATAGCTGACTGACAGCCCTCTATATGCATGGTGTGTTTTGTGTCAGGTGGGCCTTGCTCTAAGGAAGACCCTGGTAGAACCCATTTCTTGGTCTGCCAACTATGTAGATGGACTATTTAGTCCTTGTCTCATGGTCTAGGAAGCTTCCTTAAAACAAAGATGATTTTCTGGCATACAGCAATATATGGCATATAGATTCACTCTTGCTTGTGGCTCTAACAAAGAATTGTGTCATGTGTGCTGTCAAGCTCACTGTTTATGTTGCAGAGGGATATAATCAAGCCCTTGAGAGACTGGCTTTTTTCTTAAATGAAAAGGGATGATTTCCATTTTTGCTCTAGTTGGCTCCCCATTGGATGTGGAGAAGAAGGAGAACCCCAGTAAAGAAGACATTGATGCCCTGCACGAGAGATATATTGATGCTCTTCTAAATCACTTCAACAAATATTGCTCTGAATATGCCTCAGATCCAAAAAAGAAGCTTGTCATTGTCTAACTGTGTTCTTTATGCCTTACCAAAGAAAGCTGGCAATTATGTAATTATAATTATGCATTAAGTGGATATTTACTGCACAGCCATATCTTTCAATCCAGTGTCTAGAACTATGAGGGAGCAGAAACCATTTGTTATCTCTTGTATGGCATTTGTTATTGTTACTAAAATGCAATGGGACATTGTCTGATGTTTCTGTATATTTTTTTAAGTTAAAAATAAAAGTCTGAATACAGATCAATGTTAAATGCTCTTTTGATGTTTATCTATTCCAGGGGAACATGGTGTGCCAAGATCAGGGCTCTTTTCATAACTTTATGCATGCATTTTGCATTGATATTAAATATAGTAAAAGCTGGGACCAGAATATGTTACCATAGTTTTTTAATTGAGTCATTTCATGCAGGGCTTTGGTTATGAGTCTCACTACTGAATATTGCAGATGTGGATGGCTGGTTATGTCCATGCCACAGGGTCTGATACATCTCCCTGCCTTCCACTGCCTTTTTGAAGATATTTCTAATTCTGTCATTATGGCGCTCTTGGTGGGCTAAAGTATGCCTAAGAAATACTGGTGCCATAAAAGAGCCTGTTCTATTTTTTTTATGAATGAAGTTTTTTTACTGCCATGGTTGATTTACATAACCTCCAAAGATTGTTTTTCAGTCATTCAGCTTAAGGCCTTTGAAAGTGCCTGAATATTCAGCAGCCTCTTTTCCAGTGACTTGATGTACCCTTGTGCTGAATCTTTTGTTCCTCAAAAATTCCCAATTGCCTTTAAAAAAATTAATATTGTTCCAATTGGTTATAAGAGGATCTGGATGCTTTTCATCTACATCCTTTTTGTACATGGCAAAAATGTGTCCTAGTGCTGCTCCATTTCTTTGCATTCACATGCCATAGCAGGAATGGTGATAAAAGGTAAATTTATTCATGTTGTCTGTGCAGTTATTGAACGAATCTCATCTCCATGATCATCTGAGGGAGTGGTAGTTGGGTGGTATCCAGACAGAATGAGTGGAGGAGTATATGGTGGAGGTAAAGCAGTCTGCTCAACATACTTATTTTTTCCATTAAAGCTAAGGGGAATTC